TCTATGCTCTGTCGGAGGGGGAGCACGAGGAGGAGGAGGGGACACCCACCAGCACGCTGGGCTCCTACGCCACCCTGACACGGCGGCCAGGGCGCAGCCAGATGCCACGGGCCTGTCTGCAGACGGATGCCAAGGTGACCCGCAGCCAGTCCTTTGCCATCCGAGCCAAGCGCAAGGGCCCTCCACCGCCACCTCCCAAGCGCCTCAGCTCCGTCTCCAGCTCCCTTGCTGCTGAGGCAGATGGCGAGCAGACCCCCGACCCCGAGCGGCAGGCCGCAGCACCCCAAGAAGTGACCGGAGCGACCCTGGTGACACTGGCTGCAGCAGGACAGTGAAGAGCCTGGCAGCTGTGCTCGAGGGGCCACCGCGGGCAAGTCCACCCAAGCCTCTCCTTGCCCCGAAACCGCTGCACTTGGCTCAGGACTGTCCCCCCAGGGCAGGTGTGGACAATGAGTCCTGCAATAGTGGTGACACTGGCAATGCCACGCTTGCCGATGCTGACAGGGACCCTTTTGAGAGCAGCAAGCCACGGAGACGGACATTCAGTGAGCCCAGTGCTCCCATGACAGAGACTGCGCAGGACAGGCATGAGGATGCCTGTTCGGACACAGAGGAGGAGGCCAGACCAGGGGTCTCCTCCTCATCCTCCCAGAACAGCTCCAGCGAGTGCATCCCCTTTGCAGAAGAAGGCAATTTAACCATCAAACAGCGGCCAAAGCCCACCGGGCACCCCAAGGCTGATGCAGCTGTGTCGGACACAGAGCCTGGTTCCCAGCTGTTGGAGTCCCCCTGCTCTGCTGAGAAGGAGCCAGCGGCACCCATTGCCACCAAGGAGCTGCCTGTCCTGGAGTTCAACCTCACTGAGTCGGACACGGTGAAGCGCCGGCCCCGCTTCAAGGAGCGGGAGCCACTGCAGGCAGTGCTGAAGGCATTCAGCATGGCAGGGCAGGCAGAGGCAGGGGCCAGCCCTGTGCCCCAGTATGCCCAGTCCCAAGCTGTGAGCATCACAGGCCCCGCTGTCCCGGCACCACGGGCCGAGCTGGCTGGGGATGCCTTTGATGATGACAGTGTGGAGTTCAGGATTGCTGAGATAGAGAAAAGCATCTTGTCACTGGAGAAGGGGATCAAGAAGGCACCGAGTCCCACCAAAGCCCTTAGCCCCACAGAGCTGCTTGGCACCACCGTGGTGAGGACACCTGCTCCAGGTATGTGGGCTTGTAGGGGGGTCTCCGAGGCAGTGGTGGGGCCTGAGGCTCCCTCCTGGGTTGGTACAGGAGATGATGGGGATGCGTGCCACTGCGTACCACAAGTCCCCTTCTTTTGCAGATGTCCCCACCAAGCACACCTCTGTGGCGTCCACCAAGCTGGTCTTCTCTGGGCCCAAGACCATCTACCAGCAGGTCCTGCAGCCCTCTCGCCACACTGTTGCTCCCTGGGCAGTCACCGAGGCAGTCCCGGATGTGATCGGGTCCCTGGCCAGTCCCAGCCCACTGAAGCTGGAGGCGGGCAGCAAGGTGTCGGTGAAGCCTTTGGTGGCCACCCCAGGGGCCGCCCTGGCCCAGCAGCGGCTGGAACAGACCAACTCCACCCTGGTCACCACGCTGCAGGCAGCTGAGAAGAAGATCACGACAGAGGAGGCGGAGAGGTGAGGCAGCGATGGGGGCAAGGGAAATGCTGGAGCTGGGGCCCTGAAGGTGGAAGTGCCACACCAGGTCATGCACACTCGAGTCCGGCTGCGTGCTGAGCTCTGTGTGCCTCCAGGTTGTGTCCAGCCTGGCTAACCCTACCCCATCGGCACCTTCAGCCTTTGGGTGATGTTTTGATTCTCTGCTTTTCCTCCCCAGCCACCCTGCGGCCGTACACTCTGCCAAGAACATCTTGGAAGACATCAGCAATATGTTTGATGACCTGGCTGACCAGCTGGACGCGATGCTGGACTGAGGCGTGCTCCCTCCTTTCCCTCCCTGCCTCCAGCTGCTCCGCCAGTGCCCCGCATGATAGGGGAGAGCGGATCCAGCACCGAACGGTGCCTCCAGGTCTCTCCAGCTGTCTCCTTCTCCGCACCTTGCACCACTGCCGGGAACGTGGCTGCCCTTCCTCGCCCGCCCCAGCTCTGTGCTACGTGTGCCAGCGCGGCTGCAGGCCGGTTCCCGAGGGGGTCAGGCATTTCCCACCAGACTGGCAGCAGGAGGAGAGCCCAGAGGGACCACAGACGTGGTCCTGGAGGCCACAGAGAAGCCCTCGCTCCCTCGCACAGAGCCGAGGAGCCTCCACAAGGGACCTTTCTCTTTTTCCGCTGTATTGCCGAGTCCTGCCTCTTTATTATTTATCCCCTGCCAACAATGTGTCAAAGGAGAGACCTCCCTGGGCAGCCGCCACTGAGCTGGCTATTTACTGAGCAGATCCCAGCCCCGGCATGGCCTGACAGCAGCTAAAAGAAGACAGGGCTTGTCGCGATTTGGCAGCTTGCGGAGCAAGAAGGAACCTTTTTTGCTTTATTTGTTGCTTTTCCAAACGCGTCAGTGTCAGGCTGCGTGTAATCCGAGTGGATGGAAATCCCTCCAGTGGGACCCACAACCCCTCGAGTTGGGGCTGGGACAGCCTGCGAAGCCGCGGGGGCTCT